CACACATACACACACACACACACAGTGAGTCCCTGAAGTCGCACACCATCCTGGAAACCCTCTCCATACGAAATTCACGATTTGAAGGAAACACTGACTACAGATTGCTAAAAGACCACAACTGAAACATTTTAGCATGAACAAGACAACTTTGTTGAGCTAGTCGATGCATTGTTCTATTGCTGAGGGAGCTCAATTCAAGAATTCATTAAAGCGAAATAGCCTACATGTACAAAGCTTTATCTGACATTTTGGCCGTTCTGGGTTACTACAAGACCATGAGCTCAGAAATCAATGTCTGCTCTATCAAAATCGCAAGATTATTTGAATTCGTTATCACGATATTCAAAGAATTGCATTCGAAAAAGCTTGAAACATTATTGTGAAACTCAACATTTTCGACGTCAAATTTCTCCAAACTAGGTATTGAGCAGACAGAACTTTCTAATTCTGAGGTAGCGTCCCGTCAACTAAGCCGTCTTTTAAAATGAAAACCAGGATTGCGCGTGACTTTTGGCACACCCTTTATATGAACACAAACAAACAAAAACCATTACCCTTTTCCCGGAGGCAGACGAGGTCGGGAAGGGGATGACGCTGTTGTTGTAGTTGTGACTGCTGTGACCGCTCACGCTCCTGGCCCCAGTGTCACGGACACGTGGCAGCGTGCGACCCCCGGCGACCTTGACATACTCCGGTCCCTCGGTCATGATCCGGTGGAAGATGCGCTCTACGAGCTCCACATCTGATGATCACAACGACTGCGTTATTTCTTCATTTTCATTAGAGCATGGTAGACGTTTTTGCCTTTGCTTTCAAGACAATGAAAATTCCGGTTAAGAACGCCCCATTTTGAACTGGTTGATTTAGTGCGCAACATTCACGCGGCTGTGGGGGTGACAGTGGGGTTTTCACCTTTATCTTACAGGAATATAAAACAACACGCTATGATTGGCGCCATGACCGACGATGGTAATTTTTTTTGGTTTTTTTTTTTTAGGGGGGGGGGGGCAATTTTACTTTTCTTAAAACGAATTAAGGGGTAAGACGAAGACGACCTTATTAGGGTTGTCTCGAGTAAAACCCAAGGGTTAATGCTTAAATCTACCCTCTAAGCATTGCCGAACGAGAACACCTTTATCGAGTGTTCAATTCTCTACCGTTGGAGACAATCAGACATCATCCTATCTGTGGGCAATGCGTGTTTCTTTTCAGAAGGGGAACTATAGGGTGGGTTTTTTAAAAATTTGGGTCAGGGTGGAGGTGGGTTAGTAATTAACTCGATGTCAGCTATTTCGTTCGTATACATTCATTTTATAGTTTGAAAAAACCCCAACAACAACGAAGGTTTAAGGTATGGTTTGCACATCCATACATAGTCTCCATTACAGCACAAGAAACAGATTTCAAAAGGGGTTTTCCGGAAGAAAATGGCTTTTAAAATGGTAAGATAGAAAAGAATTCTTTTAAGATTTAACCTTTCTTATTGTTTAAAACTAAACTACACAGAACCCCGCGCCCCTAAAAAAAAGACATAAAAAACCCCGGAGTAACTGAAAATATCTGCAGTTAGAAGAAAAAAAAAGAGAAAAACTAAAACTAAAAGTCAAATAAGATATTATTATGTTCAATATAAAATGTGGCATCAACAGTAACATCACACGTTACAACAGCATCAACATAATAAAACAACATGAAATAAAACTACGATCGATCCTAACACCCGTTCCAGGAAAGTACCCGGGAATGAAATCATCGTATTTATTCAACAAGAGAGATGTCAATGCTGCAAATTCTGGCCAATACATCTTAGAGAAATAATATTCTTGTAAACAACGAAAAAATAAACCCAAAACAACAACAACAACAACAACAACAACAAAAAACAACAAGCGAACACTGGACACAACAAACAGGATCTTTTTTTTTTCAAGAAAGTCAGGCAGTAATTCTTTTATGATTTTTTAAAACGAGTTTTTACATTTTATAATTGCTACATGTACATTTGCCTATAGTGATGTTTGCGCACACGTAGTCCTGACTCGATGGGTTGTGCATTACTGCTCCTACTGAAAGCTGGATCTGCCCACCAACCCTTGGTAGTATAAATAACGTGAATCTGTTAACTCTGTTAACGGAAGGGTTCAGATATCTTTACTTTTAAAAAAAAGCACATTATTACAAATACTGTTTCAATGTGTGATTGTAGATTCAGATAGGGTCAACAAATTATAAATCTTATAGAGCAATTATCTCTTGCGGTCTCAAGAGTTCCTCATTGAAAAGAAAGTGCTTTTCGGCCACATTAAAGTAAGCTCATATGATAATTATAGTTTTCAAGAGCCAGGCGTGTGTGATTATAAAGACGTACCGCAGTATGGTTCTCCGTGAGTTTGGCCTACATGCAAAGACCACAAACTAAAGCTCCTCTTACACCTTACGACGGAAACTGTCAGGTTTCTATAAAGGACATTCCGGAAAAGTCAAATATCTTCCATAGAGTCCAACGTTTCGACGAAAACCAACCACGGCCACTGTTGATCCATTGCTTCGAGGATGACACCGAATACACACGTACACCAGGGCCACCAACCAAACAACAGGATTGTCTGATTCTGTTGGCACATGTCCACGCCGTCTTCTTCCTGCCTCCATTCTCTGTCCGAGGTCAGCAACCCTACCACCCATCTGTGTGACTGACCGCCGGAAATCTCCCGCCTCCGTCTCCTGTGGTCTCTGGGGAAGTGGGGGTAAACACGCCCCCAATTTTGACGAATGCGCTTTATGGCGACGGACGCAATAACGATAACTTCTTGAGTCTATCCAAGTTTGACGCATCAGATTCCATTTTAGAAAAATAAACCTAGTTGTTTTAAAGTTTAGCGATTTCAATCATCCACCAAGCGGCAGTGTACTTGTCAGCAACGGGAAATAGCTCAATAGAACTGGATCTTTGGCGAGGAGAAGCAGGCTGCAGTTTATGCTGGCCTAACTGGTGATACATGCACTGATGATATACAGTCGAACGTGCTCTAACGGTCACATGTCCAAGACAACCATCTGTACAAACGACCAATTCCCACTTCCATCCTTGCTTTAAAAAATAAATTATAACACTGTCCAAGACATTCACCTGTCTAAGACAATCATCTCTCTCCTCGACAATAAGTGACCGTCTTGGACAGCTTCGACTGTATAAAAACGACAGTCACCACTTAAAACTGGTATACTCTCTGCCTCTACAACGTTTCTGTACTCTGAAGACACTCCATATCGAGCGGGAGTCATAATATTTTCAGTTCCCAACCGATCCAACAGAGGCGACTAACAGGACAAATGTCGGCCAGTCTCAAGTGCCAATTCTCCAGGCCACCCACTCAAGGTGACAGTAATCCTTCAGTAACCCGACCGGGCCCTACTGATGACGCACAAGACAACGCTGCACGAACAAGACGCCTCTATGTCCTTCTTCCAGGTAAAGCAATAATCACTGGCTATCGGCCACCCAGATAAAGAAGATTATGCCCATCTGTTGATATACTTAGACCCTTCCGGAGGACACCGAATCCTCTTCAAGTTGAGATGTCACAGAGTTAAAACCACTAGTACAGAGACTCTTTGAGGACATTTTCAGAAACTTTGTCAAGTCTTTTAACATAAGTACCATCCTGCCTATACATATCTGCCAGTCTGTCTATTTTTTGTTTGTTTGTTTATTTACCTAGGAACAAAACAAGTATACTTTTCCCACAATTCGAAGTCTACCTGTTACGTACTTTTGTTCATGTTCTTCATCATTATCATCCAGTGCCATATCTGCTACAGATATCGGCGATCATGGTTCTCCTTTTCTTCCTTTGCTCGGGTGCTCTTAAAAAAGCTACGTTTCCCTTACATTTTCCCTGTTACCCATTTGTTTAGGTTTCTTAAGTAGGTTGCTCTGGGCCTACCCCTGCCTCGTTTGCCTTCAATTTTGCCAGTGAGAGCTTGATGTTCAAGACCTTTATGTCTATTCAGGAGTCCCCAAAACGGCATTAGTTCATGGTGCAAACCACAATGATAAAATCTACACTAGAACTTTTCAAAGAAACTTCATCTTAGTGTGAAATTTAACCAATTTTAAAAAATAAATGAACAGTATTACATAATTTAAAAAAAACAACGAACAACATCATGAACCTGCAAAACTATTAGATGAGCATTGACAATTCTGAGCAATTAAGCGCATAAAACGTTAAGAAATACTTGTTTTTCCGCTTCGAAAGTTGGAAAGAGAGAATGTAAGATACATAGCCGACATCAGAGGTGACTTATATAAACTGAGAGGAAAAAAATGCGATCTTGAATGACCAGAACATATTCTTTCAAAAGAGCACACAAGTGGTCTAATTAAAAATGTTGAAGATTTTGTTTTATAAAATGGACTGGTTTTGTTTGCAGGGCGTGTTTTACAGGCCACAAATCAAGAGATGTGTAATCTTATTTTAAGCTGACATAATTACTTTTGTTCACGGATTTAGGTTCAATGAGAAAAGCTAGGACGAATACAGATGTGTGTGTGTGTGTGTGTGTGTGTGTGTGTGTGTGTGTGTGTGTGTGTGT